TCAGTATAATAACAAGAATGAATTATACACTCATTAGGGAGATGAAGTTAAAAGTTTTAAAAGAGCAAATGTCAGCTTAGGTGTGAACCAGTTAGAACTTTCTAATACTGCTAATGTGAATGTAAAATGATAAAACCATTTTAGAAAACAGTATAGAAATTTCTTGTATTACTCTTAAGAACCAACCAGGAGTTCTCTTCTTAAGTTTTTAGTTAGAGGAATGAAAATACTTGTTCACAATAGATTTGTACATGCAAGTTGAGTATCCCTTATCTGAAATTCTTGGAACCAGAAGCGTTTCAGATTTTCATTTGAAATCCACTTGATCTGCAAAGAGAATAGCTACTCCTGCTTTTCTTGGGGTTCCTGTCACATGGAGTATTGTTTTCCACACTTTAACTTTTAGGCTATGAGTTTCTTTTCGAATTAAGTGTGTTTCTTGTATGCAGCATATTGTTGGATCTTGCTTTTTGACCCTTTCTGCCAATCCATTTCTTTTGAATGGTGAATTGCAACCATTAACACTGAGGGTTATAGGTACCACCACTCGCAGTGCAGAGGTAGGGGCTTCCGGGACGCCATACCACCGCTCCCAGCACAGAGTAAGGGGCTTTCAGGCCGCAATACCACCGCTTGCAGCACAGAGAAAGGGGCTTCCGGGCCCCCCCGTACCATTGCTCCCAGCGTAGAGGAGGTGAGCTGCATGGCTGCCAACAGCACACGCAACCACTACCCCACCCCCCATCAAAAGGAGAAGACACATAAACAAGTCTCAGGACTTCCAGATCACCTACAGGAACCCCAAAATGTTATGAGATAGAACACTCTGATATTCAACCAACTAGACTCCCTAAACTGGCGACAAAAGAGGATCTGGAAAAAATGAAATCAGAAATAATTTTTCAGATAACAGCAGAGCTTGTGCTCCTAGTCCAAGACATGATCAATAAATCTAGAGAGGAGCTGAGGAACATAATGGAATCCCAGCATAGGAAACAAATGGAATCCATAAAACAGATGCAAACAGATTTCCAGGACATTAAAAATTCCATTGCAAGTCTACACATCAGAATGAGCCAATGTGAGGATAGAATTTCAGATAGAAGATAAGATTGCAATTAGTGACCAGGAAAAGAAAAATTGCTTCAAAATTGTAAGGGGCCATGAGAAATCAATCCAGAAGCTGCTAGATGATGCAAAGAAGAATAACATAAGACTGATTGGAGTCAACAAGGAAACAGAGAGTGCAGATGACATAAAAAAATTGTTCACCGAGGTAAAGGCAGAAAACTTCCCCAAGCAGGGGAAAATAACTTGACATACAGATAAGCGAGGCATATAGGACTCCAACTAGCCTTGATCAAAAAAAATGTATACATAGGCATATAATTGTTAAGATTCCAGTAACCCAACAGAAGAACAAAATTCTACAAGCAGTTAGAGAAAAGAAACAGATCACATATAAAGGAAAGCCCATCAGAATCACAGCAGACTTCTCAACACAAACCCTCAAGGCAAGAAGAGCTTGGAGTGATGTGTATTCCAAGCCCTAAAGGAACACAGCCACCAACCCAGATTGATGTACCCTGCAAAACTATCATTCAAAATTGATGGAGAAATAAGATGTACTGATGACAAAGAACACCTTAGGAACTTCATGAATACCAAATCAGCACTTCAAAAAATTTTAGACAAAATCCTAAGAAAAGACCAGGAGGATCACAACCCCAGGAAGCCCCACAGAATGAATCCACTGGGCAGGACAAGAAATTAAAAGCAAAGGGGGAGAATCCAACAAAAAGAAAAAGTCATGACAATGATAACTCAATATGTTTCAGTTATAACCATCAATGTTAATGGTCTCAATTCACC